ATAAAAGCAGGATAAAAATACATTACAATTTGGGCAAAGTCTGATTTTACAAGCAGTGTAACAAAATTTCCTCTATGTTCAAGGAGACTGAATCATATCGATAACGAAAACTGTACATTAAAAAGGTTAGAATTTCCCAGTTATTTTACCAGGTAAGGAGATATAGAAGGTCCTAGGATCCTTATGGAAAATAGAGTACAGCAGAACATGACCTGTAGTTTCAATACCCCTTGTCCACAGGAGCATGGTTTTAGCTGATAAAGGACTTTTTTATTCAGGCTGTCCAAAACTACTCTGGTGAGAGCATTGAAGTGTGTTAAAGTTAATATTCTTTGGAATTTGGCAGTGGTTATATGACATAAGTATCTTGCTGGTTTGTACAGGATGATTTGACCACTCAGGAAATTTTCTTAAGTAGAGCAGATTGATTCTCTTGAGCTAATACAATACTGACGTATTTGTCTGAGATGTGCAGTTTGTCATTACATGAAAAGTCTTCTTTTTAATTAAGCCTGGGGCACAGCAAAGATGATAATTTTATGTAATTGAAAGAAACTTAATCTTTTGTTTTCAAGGAATAGATGCAGAAATAGAGCTTGTAATCTATTTTTGAAAAGACTTTGTATTCTAAAAATAAAATAATACAATATGCTTCTATATGGTCCAGATAAGCTTAACAATCCAATTAATTTTTATGGAGCTTTTTTTCTGTTGTGTTTTTTTTGTCATGGTCAAGTTATCTTAATCACTGTCATATAATTAGGTTTTCATTCGCCATTGTATAAGCACTATATTTTTGAGATATTATTGTTTTTTGTATCGTATTATTTTAATTTTAAAAACTTGTTTGTAGCAATATAAAATGGCATACTCTCATAACTCATAAAAAGTGCGTTAAAGAAAGATTTCTTACAATAAAGGTTGAAATAATATTTTTGTTCTATCTAATCTTGTTAAAATTACTGAATTGATTAAATTATGAATCCCAATTGTAAAATATAATTTAATGTTCTTTCAGGTGCTAATATTGCAATGGTAATTTATTTCTATTTCTGCAGAAAAAATGAATCAAACCTGGGGACCATGTGACAAAAGTCACACTGTTGACTTGAATTTTTGGTGGGTGGTGGCAGCAAGGTGATTCAGCATCCTGTCAATAGGAAACTGCCCTTTTGATAGCTCCAAAAGAAACACTGTAAGACTGATATTGGAGATCTCTTCTAAATCAACAGTTGAGCTAAATGTTAATTGGATCAGCTTGTCAACTGTGGTGACAACTCCATAACTTCATGAAGATACCAGAGTGTTTGCATGGAAAAGGTTTAATTCTAGAGCGGTGTAGTAGCAAGAGAGTCCTCTTGGATATTCAAATAGCATCCAACAATGGGTTATTTGAATTAAAAAATGCCTTAGTTACTGAAAACATACATTTAAAATGACACATTGGTAACACTTCCTACTCCTAAAGAAAATGGGACTTTTTGTAACAACTCCGTTTTTCTGGAACACTTCTAGGATTAGAACAACTCCCAACCTTTTACAGTCCAGGAAGGCTACTAAGACCTGGTTGATTCAAGAGGTCTTCAGAAAGTAAAGTAGATGTGGGCCCCAGCAGTTTGTTGGTGCCTTGTGTATATATTGTTAAATAATTGTTATGGTTGGAGTATACCCCATATAGAGTGTCTGTGGTTAAAGTGGCTTTTAAGGCCAGGCAGTTGAGGATGGAGGGGTGGGGGAAGGTCAGGAAGCATCCAGTCAGGCCCATACAATTTTTATTATACATGTTTAGATACATGTTTTGGCAGAATGATTTCCTTTAAAATTTACTACATTTGAAAGGAAAACTAATAATGACACTATTTCAGAAACAAGAATGCACCAATAAGCATTTTTACTATCATTTCAAATGGATATGTATTACTTAACATAGATGTGTTATGCTCCTTTATAGACTCTTGCCTCTGTTTCTCAGCATAGCACAAAACCTTCTCAATTTCTCTTTGTGGAGCCAAAATAAATTTAGCAGCCATGCGTCTTTGCAGTCAATGAAGCTGAACATTATTGACCATGCTGTTGTACCTCAGAACTCATCCATAAAGAAGGAAATGAACATTCCTTTTTGATTCTGCTTTTGACTTAGGTAAGATGACAATCCTAGTCCTGTAACTTGGGTTCAAGTATCTAACATGTATAAAACTCTTGTTGTCATGACCTTTAACTGGGCGAAACAGTACATCATAGGGCAGCAGTTTTTGAACCAATGTAACTCAGATGGGCTAATGTATAGAATGTGTCTAAAATCTAGGACCCATTATTCCTGAGGAACGTTCCCATTCTTTGGGAATGTTGTGGCTGCTTTAGTCCTATTGCCTACTGCTGCAGTCACCCGATTTTTCATTTTCAACGTTCAATGTGAAGTTTCCCAGCCAGTCTTGCAATCCCTCCCTCTTTCCTTCTCTCACCCAACTGGAAGGAATTAACTCATCGTGTGGCTCTTAAAGAAGCCACAATGAAGAAAGGCCTGGATATTTTTTATTGCTTTATGTGCCCCTTCTCTGGCACACAAACATATACAGTACATGTATTTATATCCCACTTTGTTCATGAACTCAGGGCACATACTTAGTGTTCCATCCTCCTATATATCTTCAAAACAATCCTGTGAGGTAGGTTGGGCTAAAAGTCACCAAGCAAACAGCTGTGGCTGCAATTGGAGTAGAAACTGGACAGTGTCAATCAAATATATCAGCCAGTATATCTTAGTTTTTGCCCATTCTGCTTCAGTTCCCAGCTGTTTCCTACTCTGAAATTGAGTGTGGACTGCCCTTTCCTTTGGCCACCAGAGATCAGGTAGATTGGACTTGCCTTAGCCCTCAAAAAGTTATGTGATCCTATTTTTAAACTTTCTTTGACAGCTTCCTTCAATTCAGTGGAGGGATTATAAACATTTGTGCATCGAGAACGGCAATGTACAGCACTGTGTTTAAAAATAAAATATTGTCAGCATAATTATGCCATGTGGAAAGAGAGGGGGAAGTCATGGTCAAGACAGAACACCATATCAGGATGAGTGAGAGAGAACTCATAAACAAAGGGGTAAATAGATCTAACAAGACAATCCGTGATCCACTGGGTCATCCTTTCAAAGCTATTTCCTTAAATAAACAGAATGACCAAAGGCAGCTTGCTATTGCTTTGGTTTTAAACTAAAACTATAGCAATATGCCTGTGGTCATTCAGTTTCTCAGTTTAGATAGGGAAAGACTTCTGAAAGGATGACTCAATGGGTCACAGGTTGTCTAATTAGATCTCATCTTGCAATGCAGGTTCCTCATTAGTTTTTTCTTGTGAAGATCAGAATCATGGCTTTTCATTCATTTTACATTTCTCATAAACAAGGAATGGCCAATCTTTTGATGGGAGAATTAACATGGGGGGAAGGGTTGAAGTTCATGGTTCAAGTGGTAGCAAAAAGTCTGCAGAACTGCCTCTTAAGGGGTGAGACCTGAATTTACTCCCCTTCTTTCTTGTGACAGGGTTATTTAAACCATTTTTAAAATTTATTTTAGGGTTGCACATCACTTTTTATGTGTGTCCTGCCATTGCTGAGGAATGTACTATATGAAAATATTCTTATAAGTTAAACAGGTGTTCTTTTGAAGTATGTCCAAATGTCCCCATAAAAGATGGACAGTAAAAAATAACCTAGCCCAGTGATGGCGAACCTTTTAGAGACCGAGTGCCCAAACTGCAACCCAAAACCCACTTATTTATCGCAAAGTGCCAACATGGCAATTTAACTTGAATACTGAGGGGTTAGGGTTAGGGTTAGGCCTAGCCACTTTGTTTTCCAGTGAAGGAAGAAGGAAAGTGCAAAGTTCTAGTCTAGTTTTCTCCAGTACATATTGATCTATATGTTCTATATTCACTTCCAGAAAACTATAGAATAAAAAGCCCTCTCTGTAATGGCAATTTTCAAAAATTTTCAAAATTTAAATAAAACGTCCAGAATTTCCAAACCCAGATTAAGGTTGTAATTTTACATGTAATAATTTGGAAATTGAACTATGGAACTTAACAGGTTGTATATGTGAGTATACTATACCTACGTATATCCAAATGTAGCAGATGTTAAATTATTTTTATTCTTTACAAGTTCTGGACACATTCCCGTTCACTTTCAGAAGGATTTTTCCCCCCTCTCCGATTAAAAAGCCTCACAAAGCACAATCTGTAAAGTGTGATTACCAGAAGGACAAGTGTAATGTTTGTACACCCGCTCTCCTTCAAACTATCTTCGGTAGTAGGCAGGGGGAGGAGAGTAGGCAATCTCTTTTTAGCCTAACCCAGGGGTAGTCAACCTTGGCTCTTTTATGACTCGTGGACTTCAATTCCCAGAATTCCTGAGCCAGCTAAGCTGGCTCAGGAATTCTGGGAGTTGAAGTCCACGAGTCATAAAAGAGCCAAGGTTGACTACCCCTGGCCTAAACTGTTACTCTGATGAAGAACTTAACATGTTTTTGAAAACTGTACTTCTTGTACATCCATCTTGGTTGGTGAGCCCGCACCGCATCTGCCCGATGTGCGGACGGGCCAGTGAACAGGAATGCAATTAAACATCAGCCCGTTTCTCCGAGGTTCCTCCAAAGCTATAAATCGGTGCGAGGTAATTTTGACCAGTTTGAACCAATCAGGTATCCCAACCCAAATAACCGGCCAATGGACGCTTCTATGAACACGGAGCATGATGTAGGTACTATAGTAAGGCGTGGCCAATCCACAGCCGCTCCGGCTCCGAAGCGCGTTCGCGACCACCTCCTCTTGCCGGGGAGGGAAGGAGGCCATTTCAGCCGGCTCGGGGAGGAGAGGGGGACGCTTGGCAGCAGCTGCGCTTCCTACGGTGGTGCCGGGGCAGCGCGCGCGGAGCCAGACACGCGGGCGGGGGGGGCTGTGGTTTTAACTCCCGATTCGGCTTCTGTTTTTCCCCTCCCGGCTTGAACATGGCAGGGCTGAGCGGCGGCCCTTTCGGCTTCGGGCGGTGCAGCCACGCCGTGGTGCGGGCGCTGCCGGAGTCGCTGTGCCAGCAGGCGCTGAGGCAGGAGAAGGCGAAAGAGGTGGACTCGGCGCGCGCCGAGCGGGAGCATCAGCTCTACGTCGGGGTGCTCAAGCACAAGCTGGGGCTGCAGGTGCTGGAGCTGCCCGCCGACGAGAGCTTGCCCGACTGTGTCTTTGTGGAAGATGTGGTCGTGGTGTGCGAAGAGACCGCTCTGCTCACGCGCCCGGGGGCGCCCAGCAGGAGGAAAGAGGTAGCGCTGGGCAGGCGGCGGGGAGCCGGTGTGTTTGTGTGTGTGTGTGTGTGTGTGTGTGTGTGTGTGTGTGTGTGTGTGTGGGAAACGGACCGGGTGGGCTCCTCAGAGGTTGGTTGGCGGCAGGAGGAGGAGGGGGGGTCCTCCCTTCTGTCCTCTCTCCCTCTCTCCCGTAGTTCGGGAAGGTGTTCCGAGCAACTTCCCGCCGAATAGACGGGAATACGGGCGGGTGGGGTGGAGGTTGGGTGGGAACGCGCCGCGGTTAGCGGCACCTCCGGCCGCCTCTCGGGATGGGCCGGGGACCTGGCAGAGCGAGCGGGCGGGCTGGCTCCCGCCAGCTCCGTTTCCTCCACTGACAGGGACGGTTTGAGCGACCGGAAGGTTGGGAACCTGAGAAAAAAAAACGCAGGCGAAGGTAGGGGGAAACTGAATGGGCGGCTCGCTCCACCACGTTATAAGGGGTGGGGGAGGAAACCGTGGAGGGAGGCCACTCTCTGTGGAAAGCCCGACTTCGCTTCCCTCGCCCCCCCCCCCGGGGTTGGTTGTGGAGTGCGGTACTGTAAGGCGTGGCCGCTGTGCTAGAAGGCGGTGGAAGGATGCGCGAGGAGAGAGAGGGCGGAAGAGGTGATGGGAAGCGAAGATGCTCGGAGAAAATGCCTTGTACAGCCGCCCCGTTAAAGCCCAGCTTTCATCAAGTTAGCGCGCTCGGGGCAAATTGGGATGCCCAGAAAAAAAGTCTGTCTGCGTTAGCCTTTTCCTTACCTGAACCAGATTTTAACCCTGAAGAGACTGCTGAGCCCTAGATGAATTGTGTCTGTTTTAGAAATGTTTAATCTAGTCGGTCTAACTCCTCTCTTGTTTACATCCTCCCTCCCTCCCTATTATCTTTATTATTTTGCAGACTCAGTTATGCTTTTAGGAAAAACTTGATTCAAGTTTTGTTTTTTTTTTTAAAAAAAGAAGAAGACGGATCATACATTATTATAAAGACTAGGAATCTTTACAGGGGTAGTAAGTAAATATGCTTAACAAACACAATGAGAAAACTAGGCGTGGATGTTGCTGAGATCATATTTCAGATTTCTGAGTATGCCCTTTAAAATACAAGTCTATGCGCCTTTGAAAGAATAATGGATATTAATAATAATAATGGATATTAATAATAATAATAATGGATATTACACAATGAAGGAACAAATTAGGACTTTGTTAATCAATTTGTAGCATATTAAGCTGTTTTAATATTACTACAAATAAAGAGACATTTGGTCAAATTAATAGACAAAGCTCATAAGTTATGCTCAAAGGGTTATTCTAAGGTAAGTATTTGTCAAATTGCAAACTTAATATGTAAGCCTTGCACAGGTTTGAAATCTTTTGTATATCTTTTTATTATAACAGAAATAGATTTTACCCATCATGATCAAGTATATATGCCAAATGTGAATACTAATAATGGTTGAATTACTTAATTGAATTATAATTAACTATGCATAGTGGATATCCTTGCTCTACTATTCACAAATTCACAGGAGTTTCTTTTATTTCTTATTCTATTGATTATCTAACATAAATTCAGACTTCTATTTATTTTTCTAAGCGAAAAGATACATGGTGAGAATTCTCTAGTATTTTCATGTGTATTTTCCTTTATTTCTGTTTGTGGTACAATGAAGTGGGCAATAACCTGAATATTCAGTCTTTATGTATGTTTCAGTACATGTTTCAAAGTCTACTTTTGCAATCAATTTTGTTAATATTAAATCATTTTATGTTTGAATATGTCTCATTTTGTTTCATCTTCTTCAGCTTCCTGATATACTCAGTGGATTATATAACGGCTTTTAAGACAGAAATGGTCATATCAGAACCCATTCTGTAATTGGTTGAGACATACAGAGATAAGTTCAGTGAACTGGAAAATGAAATAAAAGCAGTCAGCACAGATTAATAGCTAACTAAAAATAAGCTGTCTAATAATTCAACAGCAAAATAAGTGAAATACAGTTGGACATTGGAAAAGAAAAACAAGTTTATAATTCAACCTAGAAAGTTAAATGGACTTAAGTCTCACTGAGTTAACTTGATTTCAAATATTAGCAAAATTACTTAGAGTTTTTTTTATGGTATGTTGCTTCTGCTGGTTGCATGCTCTATGGCAGGGGTGTCAAACTCGCAATGTCACGTGACGTGACGTGACGTATCGTGACTTTTTTGCCATTGCTGGCAATGGGGGGGGCACGGTTTTGCTATGATGCATCCTGCCTGCAGGCCGGCAGTTTGACATCCCTGCTCTATGGATGTGATAGTATGTTACAAGAAGCTTGGATGCTAAAAGAAACATATTAAAGACTCTTGAGTCCAAAGTATGTCCATATGTATATACATACACACTAACTTATTTTATTTACTTACACATGCAATGTAAATTCAATTAGCTTCAAGAACTGTAATCAATATCTATGACGATAATGTCATATATTTTTATAAAAATTGGAATAATTCTTGGTCATAACTTTGGCAACTATAGCAACAGCTGTAATGTATTGATTCAGTCACTTTAGATATAGAGTTGGGGCTGTATGTCAATCAGAGTTAATGTTCTGGTTTGATTTCCAGTCAATGGGGATACATAGAACAATGCTTCGATGCCTTCAGTCAGGGTGGGAAATTGTTTACTTACAAAGATGCTGAAAGTGAAGAGTTTCAGCTTCAATGATGAATTAATAAATACATCTATTTTTAGTCCAGATTATAGATATCAGTTATAAAACACAACTTATCATATTTCTAGATCAGCGGTAGGCAACCTTGGCTCTTTTATGACTCGTGGACTTCAACTCCCAGAATTCCTGAGACAGTATGGCTGGCTCAGGAATTCTGAGAATTGAAGTTCACGAGTCATAAAAGAGCCAAGGTTGCCTGCTCTAGATCATATCTAATTTCTAAAAGTAGAAGAGTCCAACCTGAGATCACGGGAAACGTGTAGCCCTTAGAGATCTTCCAAAGTGGGCACTGAATTCCATTTTATTGAAATAAAAAGAGGATGTCTAGAAGATTCTCAGTCATCCAGACCATGATTGTCCCAAAGAGGCAACTGGACTTTCTTGTTTTTCTTTGAAGACCTTTATGTTTCTCATCCAAGAAGCTTCTTCAGCTCTCTTGATTATTCTTTTTTTAAATCATATGACTTGTATTTAAAAAGAGTTTAGTAGCAATCCTGCTTTGAAGTTTAAAATGTGATTTACCATTTTTCTGCGTAGCACATAAAGCACTTGTTGGAATCACTTAAACCAGCTTCATCTTTTTCTGGGTCTGTTGAATAGTTCTGCAAAAAAGCTATATTTGTTCTCAGCAAGTGCTTAGATTTATACCTATGCAAACTCTAAATCATATTTTCAAAGCAGGATCTCTGCATAATGTTATAAATGGCAAATGTGGCTTATTTGCTCATGGTTTTGTCTTCTCACTTAATATTGCCTTAAGCAGAGAAGAAGAAAAAAATGAAAACCAAAGTGAACTGGAAGAAATTAAATGAGTGATATACTGTAGTTATCTGCATTTTGTATATGTTGCAGAATATAGTTTATGAATTAGCTAATCTTCTACTTGTGTTCACTATCTGCTGAAATAACATAATTGTATTAATCAGAACATATACAAATGTCATTCTACAAATTTCAAGCATAAGCCTAATAACTAGTAAACATTTTATGCTTGTTGCATAATTGAATATATCAAGATTTTTTTCAAATGCCTAAGGAATGTAGATAAACATTTAATAAACAGGTATAAGTGACTACTGTAATTTATTTCTGGTAATCTACATGTTCAGATCATGCTGGGTTTTGCTGAAACTAAAGATTTTTCACTAAATCTGCTGGGCACTAACTTATACCTGATTTTTCATCTGTTACTTGAATTTTTCAATTTGCCCTTCTAAATAGTGAGGCGGAGAAACAGATGGTCAGTAATTAACATAAATTACATAGTTAAAGTGTGCAAGACAGACTTATTGGAGTGGGTTTTTTTAAAGACTAACTTTCGGTAATGCATTAATGGAAGTGTTCATTGAAAGAAAGAGATGGACTTGAATCTAAAAGGCCTTTACCCCAATTCCTGTTAAGATTTGTTTTAAACCAAGGAAACTTGGCAAAACCATTGTCTCCATTTTGTATTCTTGTCTGTAGAATGCAGTAGTAACAATTTGCTCTATAAATGGAGGGTATGTTGGTTTTCAATTGGTGCTTGTACCACAACGGAACTTAGCCAGAAGCTAAGAAGATACATGTAATGCAATATTGGCAACTTTGTCATATATTGAAAAAGAAAGGAAAATACCAACTTTTTTTGCTAAGGCTATTCAAACAATTTATTGTAACATGTGGTATTAAGCATAGTGATTCAGATGTAACCAGATTGCATCTAGTTGACAGGTAAAACCTACTTTGGAAAGGTTGAGAATAGTACGTGTAGAGAATATAGGATTGGTAATTTGATTTTTTTTTCTCATTCAGCTCAGAAGTTCATTTGGATGGAGAAGTAGCTGCACTCCATCGTTACAAAGATAAAATGTAATCCTAGTATTAGGAGTGAATACTTTTAAGAGGAAGAGTGGAATATAAACATTATAAGTAAAATACTTGAATATCATGCATTGAAGGGATTCTGGATCCACCAGAAACATTAATCTCATATGTATTTATATTTATATTGATTTTCATAAAAATACAGGTTTAAAAGATAAATCAACAGGGAAAATATTTAGAAAAATGTTGAAGAAAGAGAAAAAAGGTAGAAGTGTAGAAAAGAAACAAACAAATATGAAAGATAGAAAAAGATGACTTCAGACTTTTTTTGGTACAGATATGAATAAAGAAAATATATCTGAAATTTACAGTTATCTACATTATATAATTCTATCATTAAATTCCAAAATCAACTTTTCATTTCTTTCAGTTTCTTACAAAAAATCCCAAAGTGGTTTCCAAATAGAAATA